CTTAACGGGGTGTCGCTGTAGACCCTTAATTGGGTAGTCTGCGCGCGTAGGGCTGTTTTCAGGCGTACGGGTCTTGATTCTTCGTCCGTACGTGCTGGCTGAGAGTTAGTCCCCCAGTTGGACGGCTCGTCCCTAGTCACATAGTCCGTTTGAGGGTTGATAATTGTAAGCTAGTCAACAATCCCCTATTGGATTGTTCTCCCCTAGTACATGATGATGGTGAGAGGTTGGTATTATTATATTACATGTACGTATATGTGGTGTCGATTATGGTTTGGGATTTGTGAGCCTGTACATGCATGAACGTATAAGCCTTGGTTTTGGGCAGTGTTGTTTGGCACCATACGCCTTGGATAGGGTATGGTTGCGGGATTGAACTGTTATAAAGGGAATAATTTGATGATGTGTTCATTGTACATACGCCTTGGATAGGGTATGGTTGTGGGGTTTGAACTGATATAAAGAAAGAGATTAAGAATGAGTTTATTTTGTTTTATCGGAATCAGACTTGTGACCATTGACATGAGAACTACGTGTGGCTTGATCCCTTGTCCAAGGGTACGTAGGCAGCCTGGGGTTTCACCAAGTGCAGCCGCGAAAATTTTATTGCGTTTAAAAGGTTTGATCGATTCTGAATGAGTGATCGGATTTTTGATGTGGTTAATGGATTCGAATCCGGTTTAATGATTTTTTTGGGAGTAATCGAAAAATTGTTTGAGATCATGAATGGTTTGGTTTTGAATTATCTGAAGGCCGGAGGCCTATTATGTGATTGCATGTTGTTAACTTGTGAATGCTGCCAGTTGGTGTTTTAAAATGTGTTTTATGCAGGTTGAAATTTTTGGGGAATGTTCAATTTACAGGAGACACTGTCGAATTTTCGGCAGAAAGTCTCGATTTTTAGTAAGTGGACCCGACATCGGTAAGATGTCGGAATTTCCACAGGATTCGTCTCGGGTTCCGAGGAATTTCGGGGCGGGTCCTGTCAGCTTGGTAGTTTTCAGATTTTTTTTCTTGCTTGATTATTACATAAGTAGGCTGCTAGCTTATATATAGGGATGCTAAAGTCGGCAGTTTTGCTTGAAAAAGTCGGTTGCACAGTAACCGACTTTTCCAAAGTAGTGCAACCGACTTTTCCAAAGTCATTTTAAGCCACATATGTGTGGCTTTCTTGAAAATAATCCTCATTTTTCACATTGTTTTGCCGACCTATGTAAGCTTCTCCAATAATTTAGGCTCATCTGAAAGCATTTTAGATTTCTCCACACATTTCTCAAACATGTCTATCAATCATGTTCAAGCTTCTTGATTTTTATATATATTTTAGCACAAATGTGTATTAATTTCAACACATATATATACTTGCCATTTCATTTATTTATTTAAAACCCATCCTGTCCTGTGTACCAAGTTGTTTTCTAAATTTATAATTTTCACATGACAAGTCAATAAAGAAAACTAGTAGAAGAACCAAGAATGTAGTGGCTGGAAACTGAACTCGAATTTAATTCATTGACTGAAAAAAAAATACAATTTAAATAGAACGTACAAGACCAAACTGGGCAGGAAAACATGGAACAACAATCCCATGACCAACACGACTAACAGTTACTACTTAGACTCCCAACATATATAATGGGATGCTCTTATGGGATAGGTAAAACCACAACGGACCTAAACTAGATAACTCTTAACAAAATTTAAGAGCTAGACTTCAGTGTGTTTCCGATGTCGATAACAAATCGGTATCTGACATCTGCTTTGACAAGGCGCTCCATGGCAGTGTTCAGATAATCAATCGGGATAACCTCGATGTCAGCTGTTATGTTGTGTTTGGCTGCAAAGTCAATCATCTCTTGTGTCTCCTTCATTCCTCCAATGCAACTGCCGCCTACTATCTTCCTTCCTATAATATTAATTGAAGAACAAATTGAAATGTTTGTTAACAACTTTAATATGTACACAATGAACCAATTCAAATTAATGCACACTTCTGGAGCACTTACCCATGAGCAAAGGAAAAACTGGAAGCTCAAGAGGCTTCTCTGGTGCACCAACCATCACAAGCTTTCCATGAGACTTCAACAAACCAATCAAAGGCAAAAGAGGGTGGATGGCAGAAACCGTGTCGATGATGCCATCCATTGAGCCCAGGGCAGCCTACAAATTAAATCAACAAAAGTAAATTAATCCACAAACCCTACACATGTGACAATCCAGTATATAAGGTCAACGTAATTATTCAAATAATCACCTGCATTTGATCTTGGTCACGACTGACCAAAAATGAATCAGCATGGAGATGTTCAATAGCTTCTTCCTTCTTATTAGGGGAGGTGCTGATCACTGTAACCTTAACCCCCATAGCCTTGGCAAACTTTACGGCGACATGCCCTAAACCGCCTAGACCAACAACACCGACATGCATACCAGGTTTGTCAAGTCCGAAATATCTCAAGGGGCTGTAAGTTGTAATCCCAGCACATAGGAGAGGAGCAGCTCCATCAAGAGGTAGGCTGTCCGGAACACGAACGATGAAGTGCTCGTCGGCCACCATGATATCGGAGTAACCACCATATGTGGTGGTTCCGTCAAGGTACTTGGAACCATAGGTGAGTATCATTTTGGGGCAGTAATTTTCAAGGTTGTTGGCACAACTGTCACAAGAATGGCAAGACCCCACCATGCATCCAACACCTACCTTGTCTCCAACTTTGAATTTTTCTACTTTGCTTCCTACCTCTGTCACTACGCCAACAATTTCATGCCTGCATTGCCCCAAATAAGTTCACTTTTAGGAATGCGTTCATTGAAAAGCTTGAGCTAATTAACTTACATTCACATCAACTATCAGTAAATGCTCTGGTCTGACTGTAAACTTGTGATAATTCTAGCAAGTATTTTTCTTAATTTTCTTTTGGCATGCCCTGCCTTTCGTTGTCACCAACCAAATAATGCAACATACATCTTACTTGTGGTGGTCCCGGGGTCCAGTGGTGGTTGTTTTTTCTTTACCTATATTCTGGTGCAATAATTGTTATGACTTTATACTAATATTATTTACTAAAATAAAAGTTTTTCAGAAAAAAGTTAGAAAACTTTATACTAATAAAGTCATATATCTGATACATGACAACTAAACTAAACTGAAGTCACAAATAATGCAACATACATCGTACTTATGCGTGTCGGTTTATTTTTTAAAGAGCCAAACTTTGGTCTTTTTAAATTTAAAAAATCGTTATTAGCACTTAAATTAAAAATCATGGGGTATATCCCAAAAGAAAATCAA